GATCTAAATATAGATCTACCATTTGATCCTGTAATTCCTCTGCTAGGTATATACCAAGAAGACCATAAATCACACTACAATACAGATATCTGTACCAGAATGTTCATTGCAGCCCAATTCACAATCGCTAGGTCATGGAAGAAGCCCAAGTGCCCATTGACCCAGGAATGGATCAATAAATTGTGGTATATGTACACCATGGAATACTATACAGCCACAAAGAAAGATGGAGACCTTGCCTCCTTCATATTTACACAGATGGAGCTGGAAAATGTCCTCCTTAGCAAAGTATCTCAAGAATGGAAGGAAAAGTATCCAATGTACTCAACACTACTATGAAACTAATTGTTAGCTATCTTAGGAAAGCTACAATCCAAATGGAACCCTAGAATACGGGGAAAGAAGAGGGGGGAGGGGAGGGGAGGGGGGGTGAAGAGAATGATATTGTGGGGATCATGCCTATAGTTTATTCTATTTGGGTACAGGTGAATTTGTCTAAAGGTTGAATATAAATGTCTTAGCATAACAATTATGAGAAAGACATGATGGCTATGTTGGCCACCTGGATGAGAGTTTTCCAAACTGCATATAGAAGTAACATGCTGTATCCTATGAGAGAATTAATGTACACAATTATGATCTAATAAAAAAAAAGAAAAAAAAAAGAAAAACATGAATACTTTGTTTCATAGGAAATTTATTTATTTTTGATCATTTCAATTCAAAAATACTCATTGTTTCTTATGGATGGTCCATTATACTCTCTTTGCAAATATAACATACATCAAAATTATGAGGAATTTTAATAGTAACATAGAAACTTCTGTATAGTAAGCAAGACGGAATTTCAAACAATGAGCCAAGGGCTTCAGAACTTGCCAGTAAAACAAAGGAAGTATTTCTCCAATGACAAGGTGTAGAAAACCATGGATAAAATCTAACAGAGCACATGCTGGAAACTGTGATCAAGAAAATAACCCACCATCAGTCTGCGTATGGTCCAGATGGCACCGAGCGCATCCCGTAGGAGAGCTGAGCGCTGGCTTCTGTCTGGAGAGTGAGCCTTTTGGGACTGGGACTCACGGTACCTAAGTGTCTGAAAATCAACGTTTTTCAACTTCTTGCCCATATAATAATGACCAGAGGTATAAAAGCAGCAGGCACAGGAAGCACCTAGCTCTGATTTCTGAGGAGATGTAACACCAGCTCTTCATCCTCCGCTAAAGACAGGCCCGTGTCCAAAGGCGCTGACGTGTCCCACTTGGCCTTCTTCCCGTGGTGACTTCTTGGTTCCACGACTTCCAGGTCGCTGTTGTTTCTCTTCCGCATTCCCTGCTTCTTCTTGGTGTCACTGGTGGGAACAAATCCAACGATTTACTTTATAAATAACTCTACTCAATAGGGTCAAGGCAAGCATTTAAAGTAGAAAAATCAGACCACAAAACAGATAGTTGGTCAACTGATAAAATTCAAAAAGGAAAGAAACCACAACCACGTCAGGATATCTGTGTCATAAGAAAACACTTCCCGTCAGTGGGTGGGGAGAGCAGGCATCACACACTAGGCGCGAGCAGAGTACTTCATGCGCACCGTGCCATCCAACCTTCGGAATGGTTCTAGGAAGCTACAGATTTACATATTACCCACTGTTTGAGGACACCGAGAGGCTCCCCAGGTAGGTCAGAGTGAGTCTGTGCTTGCCCTGCCCCACTACACCACCTGTTATCTGCAGGCACCAGACTGTGAGCTAAGAGGTATCAGGACACCAGGTGCTGCTTCTAGTATCTGTTACATTCAATTGTGATAGAGAGATCGTGAATAAAATAGAACCTGGAATGTGAAATTACAGATTTAAAATATCAAATAAATCTCCATTTAAAAGTCTATATCCAAGACATAGATAGTGTTAAGGAAGCAAACACTTTGGCAGTATTCTATACACCCTATAAGACACAGAACACAGAAATAAAGCTAATTTCTTAAAGTACAAGAAATCACTTGATATATTAAAAACAAAAGAAAAAGCAAAACAACTTCCTCAAAGCAGTTTGAGGTATCACTGTGCGACATGATGACACAATTACTGGGTATAAGATTAAACAAAATAAAAGGTCCGTCTAATGTACGGTTCTCAACGAACTATATTAAGGGGTTGCAGCATTAGGAAGGTTGAGAACCACTGGTCTAGTGGCAGTGGCAGCCACCGCCAGCACTCAGGGTTTACTAGGGGCTGACACCACACTACACGCTTTCCATAGATTACATCACTATCTTCGCAAAAACCATTGGATGGAGGAACGTGAGCCTTGTCCTACAATGAGGTTAAGAGAGGTGAAATGGCTGGACCCAGATATCACACATGGGATTCGGACCCAGCCCTGAAGGCAGGCTGTGGAAAGCAGGGAGTTGAGTTGACTCACTCAACATCTGGATGACAGTGAGTGAAAGAATCAGCTGTGGAAAGAGCACTGGCAACAACACAGTCAGACTTTTAGCCAATCAACTAACATTTTTAAGCCTCAGTTTTCTTAAAGATGAAGATTATATAATTTATTTTGAACTATAAGAATTTTAAAAAATGATATAAACAAGAGCACACAGTAATGCTCAATACATACTAGTTTACTTTCCGCTATAAACTACTGCCTTTCAAACTCTCATATTGACTATTGAAAAAAAAAATCACAGAAATGTTACTTTGTATTCCAAAAGAGAACAAAGTGCTCAAGTTCTAGTGGACCTGATCACTGGTTAGGAAGACAGCCTGGATATCAAAGTGAATGTGCCTGATCAGCATGTCTATCTACGACCAGCTTCAAGCTCACCGTAAATAATCCCCCGTTTACCTCCCAGAAGTACCCAATGCTCCGACTCAGCCATTCCCTGTCACCATTGGAGGAAAAGACAAGCTAGAGGCCACTGTGATTATCTAAAGCCACATTTTTAAAGGGTGCCTGGAGAGAGAAACATGAAAGAGCTCCCTGTGATGAGAATGCCAGTCAGCAAAGAATTAAAATATTCTTAGTGAAAGGCACCTTAAAAAAGAAAAACGTAGTGAGAGCCCTAATCTGCTTAGGAGTGTGGCCAGTCCTGTGCCAAGGCCACTGGGCTATGGTGCCATGACTGATTTGGTACAAGGGAAGACTGACTCTGTCCCAGCCTGTGATCTCAGAGCAGCTCATCCGAGAGGCTCTGCTAATGCTCAGTGGGCTCTGCCGATGCCGTCAGTGTGCCCCTGCACAGGACGCGCCCTGCCGATGCCGTCAGTGTGCCCCTGCACAGGACGCACCCTGCCGATGCTGTCAGTGTGCCCCTGCACAGGACGCGCCCTGCAGGAAGGAGGTGGGGTAGGGAGCACATGATGGGAAATTTACAGAGCCCTGATATTTTCACAATTAGCAGATTTGCTACTTTGAGGATCATTTCAAATTCTACAAAGGCTTTTTATACTATTTTCTATAGCTAATAAGTAGCAATCTGTTAAACAAATTAATTATTAAATAGTATAGGTAGTTTACAGGTAATTTACCAAAAAGAAAACAGTGTAATGAATCTAGAAAATGAGTAAGCAGAAAAGCAAAATACGGTCACAGTCTGGTCCCTTCAGAAAAGACATCTTCCAAATAGCGCAGCATTGGAAGGCTGTTTTATTTATATCCTGATGCATCAGGCCGAGGGGTTCCTCACGCAGCCGACATTCCCTGGGAGATGACTGGATCCAACTAAGAATGAGAACTTCTCTGTGATCAGTTAACAGATTAATGGATGTGACAGAGAATTCTAGGTTCTGGATTCTTGTTTTCTGCACCTGGGAGGGGCTCTCAGACCTTTCAATTGAGATTTCTCATAGGTGCCTCACAGCAGCCCATCATGGGTGCAGCTTACCAGATAGACCGAGGAACATTCTGGAGACAATGGGTAAAACTGGAAGAATGAAAATGCAACATAGGCCAGAAGCAGGGCACTCCTGGGAGAGCCTTTCAAGTAATAAATGTTCCCCCTGAAACCCAAGGAAGGAGGAAGGAGGTCGGTGAGATGACGGACAATGAAGTAGCGGCCCACGAATCAGGGCAGTCCGAGCCTGAGCTCCGCATGCACCTTCTTATCAGTGCTTCTGTGGGACTTGAGGTGTTAAACTCTTTCCACATTCTTCAAGTGTTTGGGGCCAAGTGTCAAAGACAACCGATTTCACTAATGAATATAGATGCAAAAGTTCTCAGTAAAAACCTAGGCAACAGATTACAGCTTATCATTAAAAGTCATACATCACAATCAAGTAGAATTCATCCCAGGGATGCAAGGCTGGTTTAACATACACAAGACCATGAACATTATTCACCATATCAACAGAAGCAAAAACAAAGACTTGTATAATCCTCTCAATAGATGCAGAAAAGACGTTTGATAAAATTCAACATCCTTGGGCCGTACCTGTGGCTCAGTGGGGAAGGTGCCGGCCCTATGTACCGAGTGTGGTGAGTTCAAACCTGGCTCTGGCCAAACTGCAACAAAAAATAGCTGGGTGTTGTATTTGGCGCCTATAGTCTCAGCTACTCGGGAGGCTGAGGCAAGAGAATTGTCTAAGCCCAGGAGCTGGAGGTTGCTGTGAGCTGTGATGCCACAGCACTATACCAAGGGCAATAAAGTGAGACTCTGTCTCAAAAAAAAAAAAAAAAAAAATTCAACATCCTTCTGTAATTAGAACTCTGATGAATACAGGCAATGGCAGCACATTTCTTAATCTGAGCGAAGCCATCTATGACAAACCCACAGCTAATATACTGAATGCAGTAAAAGTGAAAGTTTTTCCACCTAGAATTGGAACCAGACAAGGTTGTTCTGTCACCATCACTATTCAACATAGTGCTAGACATTCTAGCCAAAACAATTAAGCAAGAGAAGGAAATAAAGGGCATCAAAATGAGGGCAGAGGAACTGAAACTCTCCCTCTTTGCTGATGATATGATCACATACTTAGAAAACCCCAAAGTCTCAACCACAAGACTTCTGGAAGTGATCAAAAAATACAGTAATGTCTCAGGATATAAAATCAACGTTCACACATCAGTAGCCTTTGTGTATGCCAATAACAGCCAAGAGAGAAGGTAATCAAGGACACAATTTCCTTCTCAGTAGTTTCAAAGAAAATGAAATACTTAGGAATACAACTCACAAAAGAGAGGTGAAGAACCTCTGTAAACAAAACTATGAACCCCCAAGAAAAGAAATAGCAGAGATACTAACAAATGGAAGAACATACCATGCTCATGGCTGGGAAGAATCAACATCATTAAAATGAATATACTTCCCAAAGCAATCTACAGATTCAATGCCATCTCTATTAAAATACCAACATCACACTTTCAAGACTTGGAAAAAAAATTCTTCATTTTGTATGGAACCAGAAAAAACCCCATATACCCAAGGCAATTTCTTAGTAGTAAAAACAAAGCCAAGAGCATTAGCCTACCAGACTTTAGGCTGTACTACAAGGCTATCGTGGTCAAAACAGCATGCTACTGGCACAAAAATAGAGACACAGACATCTTGAACTGAATAGAAAACCAGGAGATAAAACTAACATCTTATAGCCACCTAATCTTCAATGAACCAAACAAGAAGATACACCGAGGGAAAGAATCCCTATTCAATAAATGGTGCTGGGAGAACCGGACATCCACATGCAAAAGACTGAAACTGGACCCACCACACCTTTCCCCACTCACTAAAATTGATTCAAGATGGATAAAAGACCTAAGTATAAAGCATGAAACAATAAAAATGCTTGAGGAAAGTGTGGGGAAAATACATGACGCTATCAGACTGAGAAAAGACTTTATGAAGAAGACTTACGTGGCAATTGCAATAACAACAAAAATAAACAAATGGGACTTAATCAAACTGAAAAGCTTCTGTACAACTAAGGAGACAACCACCAAAGCAAAGAGACAAACTACCCATTGGGAAAGAATATTTGCATATTTTGAGTTGGACAAAAGCTTGACTGCAGCTCAGAATCTTAGCATCTGCATAGCTGTGGAAGAAGGGAACACTTTTATACTGCCGATGGGACTGCAAACTAACTTAAAACTTTTGGAAGGAAGTATGGAGAATCCTGAAAGAAGTCAAACCAGACCTCCCATTTGATCCTGCAATCCCATTACTGGGCATCTACTCAAAAGAAAAAAAATCCTTGCACTAGACTGTTTTCTGCAGCTCAGTTTACAATTACCAAATTGTGGAACAGCCTAAATGCTCACCAACCCAGGACTGGATTAACAAGCTGCAGTGTATGTACACCATGGAATACTATTCAGCCATTAAAAAGATGAAGACTTTACATCCTTTGTA